GTACTGTCGCGTTTTCACCATCGTAGTTTCGTGATTTCGCGTTTTCATCATCGTTCTGTCGAGTATCGCGTTTCAGATCAAACCATTCATAGGCGATGGCCCTAACGGCATTCCGGAATGCCGTAAGGGCCATCGCCTATGAATGTGTTAATCTGAAGCGTGATAGTCGATAGTACGATGGTGAAAACACGAAACCACGAAACTACGATGGTGAAAACACGATAGTACGATGGTGAAAACGCGATAGTATGATGATGAAAACGCGATAGTACGATGATGAAAACACGACAGTACGATGGTGAAAACGCGATAGTACGATGATGAAAACACGACAGTACGATGATGAAAACGCGATAGTACGATGGTGAAAACGCGATAGTACGATGATGAAAACACGACAGTACGATGTTGAAAACTCGAAATCACGAAACTACGATGGTGAAAACGCGAGAGTACGATGGTGAAAACACGATAGTTTATCGCGTTTTCATCATCGTAGTATCGTACTGTCGCGTTTTCATCATCGTACTTTCGCGTTTTCATCATCGTACTTTCGCGTTTTCACCATCGTAGTTTCGTGATTTCGCGTTTTCACCATCGTACTATCGACTATCGCGTTTCAGATCAACACATTCATAGGCGATGGCCCAAACGGCATTCCGTAGTTTTCAGCTCAAAAATGTCCAACATGTAGTAATCTGGGAGTGGCTTTTCACAAATACTTGAAGTACTTTGATACAAAAGTGACACTCGTCTTTAAAGGAAAACATTTTAATTTACGAATCGTAGATAATTGATTATTGGTCTTTTATTATTTATCAGTATTGAAGTGACACAATCAATATATACAACACTCTTTGGTTTAATTAATTGCTTAGTCATGACACGCGTAGCCTTATATCAAATAACTCAATTGAGGTGTTACATTACTAAATGTTTACAATAGACGCGACGTATCTCTTCATCTATCCCCTGATGACACAGCTTTATTCATGCGTTCACCAAAAACGTTAGAAAGAACCCTGAACAAAACGGCTTGTACCCGTACAGCAATAACATACAATATAAGGTGTAATGTATACATATGCAGGAATATTTGAAAACGCTTATATAACTGCATACTTGTTCATAAATTTTAAAAAAATGTTGTTTTAAACCCTACGTTTTTATATTTTGTTAAATAGCATTACATTTTAAATCGTGTAGAAAGTTTAAGACATTTAAATATAGGTTAATACCCTGTACGACTCTTTACGAAAATGTGCTTTGTACTTGAGACATAGGCAAGTGACTTTTACGACGCTCTATTAACACGTGCCTTTCTAAACATAGCCTTCTAGCGTTTTGAATAACCCATATTGCAAAATCCCTATTCAAAATAGTTTTTCTATATCTGTATTTCTGTCATTTAGTTCTTCATATAGTAAGATATTCTTAGCTAACATTTACACTGTAGCTAATATTCAGCTACGCTTTGGCTATCCGACAATGTTTATAAAAGAAGTAGTAACAAAACTCTAAGTTTGAGCGAGATGTTTAATGTATTTGATTGAGAAGTCATATTCATTTACCTACCTGATTTGAAAAAACAAATAAAAAATGTAAAGGTTTGTTCGTCTTCCTTGTTACAGTTTAAATCATGTTTTCATGAGGGAAAACAAATAGTTTGTTCAGATGAAATTTCATTATTATGTATATAAGCAAAGTAAAAAATTAATTTTCATATTTATTTATTTAATATGGTAATAATGATAATGATAATAATAATAATAATAATAATAATAATAATAATAATAATAATAATAATAATGATAATAATAATAATAATAATAATGATGATGATGATAAGTTTAAATATGTTTAATTAAGATCAAAGTTCTAGTCATGATTTTCAAAACTAAAAAAAAACAAACGTTTCAAAAGTATGATTTTGATAACCAACTAGTTTAATCTATAATGTATTTTATATCAATGCTATTATATAGGGTAGTAAAAAGGGCCAAAAAACTTTTGACTTACCTGAATAAATTTAGCGTACTTCAGTCCACAACCTGTTGCGAAATCACTTGAAATTCCTGAGTTTGTCGTGCAAAAATGTTTAGAGCCGTCAAATATCACCGAGGCGCAATCATGACTTTTACAGCAAAGCGCTGCGCACGTTGCAAATGATGTGACGTTATTTATGACGTCAATAACTGACCCGTACTCCTTGTAACACACATCCTCAACCGAATATTTTGTATTACATACAAAACTCAAACCATAATGTAAAATGACCAATAACGACAGAGATTTCAGAATCATATCTTCTGTAAAATATATATTTATAAAGAAAATGCACGGCTCTTTTTAGAAAATGTTAAAATTTAAATGTAATGAATCCTATGATTAAGTTAAATATAGTTTTTTTCCCTGCTCTACTCCTTTGAAATATATTAGCTACAATAATATGTAAGAATTCAAGCAAATATCAGATAATCGTGTAATTTGAAGAGGGCATTAATATTTATACAAAATAAAAAAAACGATACATTTTCTCCAATATTCATTAATTTTGCATGAAGACATATCTAATATTATTTGTATTAATATATCTTGAACAACAACATTAATAGATCAACGCAGATAACAGGGAATATTAAACAATTAAATAAGTGTTCTTTTTTCATCTGCCGATATCAATAGAAGAATTCAAGACAATATGTTTCGACAAATGGAAGTTAACATTAAGAAGTAGTCACCAAATATTTGAAGATCCATCAGGTCCGAAGTATCAATCTACACATTTAATTAACTTTCGGATAGGTTATCGTATTTTTTTTATAGTTTAATGCTAAGTACTGATCTAAGCCGGTGCTGGGGTCATGGACGATAGCTTGCCTCTAATTCTGTCAGTTAGAACAGCATTTTAATACAGTTTTATTGGGCCATCTGTATGGTTTCCATGTTGACTATATTATTTTGTAAAAGTTGAAAAGTACTTAAATGCCGCAAGCTTTCTGAGCATATAGAGACTTTATTTAGAAGGCAATCAAAAGGTTGCGCATTATGCCGTTGGTAGAAATGAGATGTCCCTGAGATGACATTTTGTCAAAGTGGGTCGGAATGAACTCGAAATATTTAGTCAAAGTAATAGGATATATAGAAGCCAGATTAGCCCGGACATCTGGAGGTTTTAATCCAAGAAAAGCAAGCCCATAATCTGAATTGCAAGCGAACGAACCCTCAAAATGATCACTCTATAAAATTGGTGTCTTGTGGCTTTAGAAATAAATGTATTCAGCCCGATATAAACTAACAAACCCGCTTTAATAACGTGCACAAAATTAAACCCATGCAAGATTTCAAAATATTTACTGTTTTTACTTTGTACGAAAAGAAGGCAGGTTTAAAATGATGCTATGAATCGAAATGTTGCTATCCCTGGCTTTCTAGAAATCCTTAAAAATGGAATATCGATCTACCGTTTGAGCCCAATAGTGAAACACAGCGAAAACGCATAGATACATATTGAATTATAAGTTACTGTTTAAGTATTATATCCGAAGACCTATATAGATTGTTAACGACTTACACCTATTCCTGTTTATATGGAAAAAATATGGGAATTTGTAACAAACAAAAATACATTCATATTTATAATTTGTACCATAAGTTTTGGCTATTGTCAAGTAGAGTATTTTAAACACTACTTGTACGCTTATTTATAAACGGTTAATTCGCATTTAATTAAGTTGTATTTCATATTGGAATACCAGAAACCGCTATTCAAAATTACAGCACATATAGCCTGTATATTAATATTTTTATTTATAAAAGCAAATCATTTGTCTAAATTTAGAAATATGGTCGGCGCAATGGAACGGTTTTAAGTACACGACCTTTATGGTCACATTAAGAAATATATTGTATCATAGTTTGGGGACTTTTCTGTTGAAAATGTGTCAGAGTTAAATTGTATACATATACATGTACAGTGCGTTAACTGGAGTGCGGGTATTAGTTACCCGCACTCCAGAGCGTGCCCATTGATTGGTTCAATTTTGCTGGGGTTTACATATTGTGACGGAAGAGAAAGGGAAAGCGACAGAAATATCATATTCAGATGCTCGTTCATTGGTTACTTTTTCCCGGGGTTTCATATTGTGACAGCAGGGAACGTGTTTTTATGTTTGACTATGATACAAAAGAGAAAGAACACCAAAACACTCGGCAATCTGATTTATACTCGGGGGCTACGCCCCCTCGTACAAATCAGATAGCCTCGTGTTTCGGTGCTCTTTCTATTACCTGTATTTCTACTACTGTTTGGTATTTACTTGTGTAGGAACGGATAAACTTCCTGAATTCGTACCCCTGATATATACATATAAGTTTATAAAAAATATATTGATATGATTTATAAACATAATTTAGACCTAAAGTTAAAGTAAACAAAAGAATGTCAGCTAAATAGCAGATGAGAACATGTTCCAGGAATCATATCAACAATATAAGAACTTACCACAGTAAACTGAAATATCAATAGTAACACGTAAACTAACTATTTAGTCAGATAGTTAACGCGATAATTATATGTTAAACTGTTGGCAGAATTATGCGTTCATTTCGTTGGAGAGGGGTGTAAATTTTGCATAAATAATGCGTGTGATTTGAAATGTAATTAAATTAAAAAAATTACCACTCAAAGTTACTAGTTAGATATGGCATGATACGACTGAAAGAATTTTTTTATATATTCAACATTTATTTATTTTCATTACAAATACTGACGATTATCTCTAACAAGAGCTACCTTATATGTTTTGACTTTCTAAAGTTAAATTTTGTTTGTAGAGAAGTATTTTACGTTTATACGTCTTAGTTGAAGAGTAGAACAATAACTTGATTACCAATATAAGGTTAAAAAAATTTAAAAAGTTTAGAGGGGGCTTGTTCACAACGGAACACAGAAGGGAAATATTTAGCGACGGTTAACCATGAAATTTTGTTATTGTTATCAACATCGCACATGCGCGACTTTTGCTATTTTAAGAACACGTAAAAATTAGTAAAAAGACTTTCTGTTTCGGCTCACGTTGGAATACACTTTTAAATTAAATTCAAATTGTTTCAGGTAAATTCTTTTAGCGAAATTAGTTTAATTACACCAATGTGTATATACATTGTACTACTTTTTAAAATCATAAACAAAATTAACTTTATTTACTCATTTCTCGACCTATTTTTACTCATATCTCGACCTATTTTGTAAGAAAATACTTAAAACTTGTGTGCTTTTTATAAGGAGGTCTTATTTATTCATCTGATGATTGTTAGAAATAAAGAAAACTGTTGTGAGATGGTTTTATCTTATCTTAATTTTTCGATCGTTAATTTAGACATAATTACTACACTTCCCAGTTATGATCTATAATTAGAGCTTACGTACTTGTATATCTCCATTAATATATCGGGCGTTACACAAATAAATGACGATAAATGTTTTAGCTCACGTTTAGGGTAGCTATAAGTATAAAAGGGGAGGTTCCGTGGTCAACAATCATCTTCTCTGACACCGCTTGACAGATATACTTCAAATTTGGTCTGTAGCATCCTTGTGACAGTCACACCAAACAATTGGCCCCATTAAGAGGTCATGAGGGCTAAAAATAGATTCACGTTTAGACATCTCCTATAGAACTGTTTCAGACTAGTTTTTCAGGTTACATCGGACGTACTTTAACAAATAATTCGAGGGATGACACCAATACAACTTTACAAAGCGTGATGCATATTTTTAGATAAGGAGTGTTTGGTGTTGTAATTTAAAGAATATAAGTGATATAAATTCTATTCTATTTTAGATACATAGATACTTGAAAACAGTTGCCAAGATGGTATCCAGTAAATACATAACATCGTTGATCATATTTCTTGGAATCGTCTTAATGTGGACACAGTTTTGCAGACAAATGGATTCCAGTTTAAACCAGGCAAGGTTGAATCAAGACAATATATTACTCCCAGGGTGTCGTTTGAGAGTTTATTCAGAACATTTACTGATGGAAAAGGCTTTAAAGCCGTTGTTTAAATTTGTTATATTGATTTCATATTTTGTTGTTTTATCAGGCTGTTTTTATAAATTATTGATTCATGGCAGATTGAAATCCAAAGTGATAAATGGACATGCTAGTCGACAATTTTTTCAGTGGACTGTAATGTCTTTAAATGATTATATTCGAGATCGTATGAATAATAATCTCGGAATGCATGAATTAATGAAGTATGAGTGGGCGAGGTACGAATCTTTTATGTTGTATCCACATACAGCATCACTGTCTCCATTAAAGCTTGCGCGCTCAGGTTTCTACTATACCGGTGAAAATAAAACCGTGAAATGCTTTTGCTGTGGTGAACAGTTTGATGCCAACGATTATGAAACATTAAACGAAGCCCATCAAAGTAATTCGCGAAACTGCAGTTTTGCCAGAGGTGAAGACAGTTCAAATATTCCAATAAAACATTCTAGCAGGTCAGATGATTTTAATGTTGGCACTAGGGAACATGAAGATATGATTCCTTGTAGAAATCCAGATTATGTAACAGAAGAATCAAGACGGCGATCTTTTAGAACGTGGCCTCATGATTATTTAAGAGGAACACAGATGATGGTAGAAGCTGGTTTGTTCTACACAGGTTGGTTTGAAAACATTGTTTCATTTATTTGAGCTAAATACTATTTTGAAACTACACTCGGTATAAATTACAGTAAACATGTATTTGTTTGTTTGTTGTTGGTTTTTATAAGAGGATGTGGGTCTGGCATTTGGTTTGCTTTTTATTGTGCTTTTAAAATGACAAACTTGTTTCATTAATATGTTGCAGAAACGTCATATGATGATAATAAATGAAAGATAAACGTTCAACAATAATTTTTAATCTATTTCAGGTACTGGAGATTTAGTTCGATGTTATCATTGTGATATCGGAATCCATGACTGGTCGGACAATGATAATCCTTTTGTTGAACATGCTCGTTATTCTCCACATTGTCATCATGTGAGACAACAAAATCATGTAAGGACTCAAGCACTTGTACGCCTTTTTTATTATTTTCTTTCCAACCACTGCATATTTTTTACATGTAAACGTATGTTACTATATAAACATGTAGTACAAAATCTGAACTTTAAAGCCATTATGGTAAAATTAAGGTCATTTTGCAAATTTTGCTTCCATAATGGACGAGTGAAGGAGCGTACGTGCACAATGACTTATCAACTCTCAATGACTTTAAAGACGGCTGCTTGAATGATCTGTAGTCATTTGCACTCACAAGTTTTAAGTTAAGATAACATAACCAATGGCAAATTGAAATTGTTTTCAATAAATTGATGCAAACCATACATTTGTAAACATAGAACATAGTAGGAAGTATTTTATAATGAGACTTCAATACATTCATTGAATTACATGTATTACTTTATTCTCCTTTTTTGAGTTTCTATTCTCAGACCTTTGCAACACTGCTTACTTTCATGTATATTTTTATGTTATATTTAAATATAGTTTAATGCTTGAAGATCTGAATTTTGATATTTGAGAATATTGATAATTGCTGAACAGTTTGTTAATGACATAATCAACTCTTAGTGACTTTCTAAATGGCTTCATGAATGATCGGTCGTCATTTCACAAAAAAGTTCTAAGTTAAGATGACATTATTTGTCGCAATCAACACAGCTTAACATTGAAGATTTATAAACTCAAAAAAAAAGTCAATAACTATACCCAAGACAAAACATGATCCTCTTGATCCTCAGAAATTCCGAAAATGACTTTAGATAGACGGTAGATAAAGATCGGGGGTAATTAGAGCTAGATTTGTGACTTCACAACATTAGAACCGTTCTTTACAGCACACAAATGGCACTGAACGTTATTCTCACAAAGAAATAAAAAGAATATTTATCAATATAAACAACAATAAAACAACATTTTCTTATCTTAATTTTTTTTATAGTTAGATGAATGGTTAAACTGAATGACCGATATTTGTTTACATTGACAACTATCCGTTTCTAAGAAAGGTTAATGGCGATATCTAAACGCCGTATTTCATGCATATGTATCAATTACTCGGGCCATAATGCACATTTTAAGCCCATTATCGCATAATCACAAGGAGCAACCAAGTATTAAACTTTAAATAATACTATTTAAACGCCCATATAAATGTTATGGAGTACGTGGAGAACGTTACGTAGATCTTCTTATAACATTCTGCCAGAGAAGACCAAAGCTATGCAAAAAACTTTTGATTTATTTTTAATTGGGATCAGGTTTTTATCCATTAATTTTTCCAATTTTTCTGTGATTTACTTGAAAATACTTCATTTCCTTGTTCTTTTTAGCATCAGATACAAAATGATTAAATATTTAATATACTTATTCACTTAAAGCAATCATAAACAAAGAACAATAGTTAACAATAGTAAAAGCTTTTATGGCCCATAACTTTGTTATTTGCAGAGATTTCTTGCCCAAGTCTCCCGACAACTTGATGCCGATTTAAATTTGCCAATCATTCATTCTGGCGGAGAAGACAACAGAGGACAGTCAGGCATAATTCAGTGCAGATATACAAATTATGTAACGGAAGAATCAAGACTAAGGTCTTTTACAAACTGGTCTCATGAAAATGAAAGACAAACGCATGCGTTGGCAGACGCTGGTTTCTTCTATGTAGGTTAGTTTCAACTAAAATGTTCTTGTGGTCCCACTTTAGAGGATTTATATAGATTTTCATGTGTCCGTTTGTCCGTTCTAATTTTGTGTTGCACGTAGCTTAAAAGTATTTGACCTAGAGTCATCAAACTTTACAAGAATGTTAGTTAACATGCGTGGTTGTGCACCTGGGTTTTTGCGCGTTTTTTTTCTGTATTTGTAGATTATTGCCCATGACTTAGTTAGTTAAAACTGAATGAGAAAATGATCAACATCACCCAGAAAATGTGTACCTGGGGTTTTGCATGCGGATTTTTTTTTTCAATTTTGTTAGAAATATTGCCCTTGACTTAGTATAAATTTGCCTAAAAGTTTACAAGAATGTTGGTCAGCAAGTGAACTTATGCAACTTGATTTATTCAGTATTTGTAAAGTCATTGCCCTTGACTTATTTTTAGTTTTCAACTTGTGTCAAGTGAAGCCAAAAAATATTTGGACTAGAGTCATAAGATTGACGAAACAGTGGAGTGTGGGGCGCCCGTGTCCTATGGATACATTTCTAGTTTTTTAGAGTTTTAAAGTATTTAAAGAAGATGTATATCATACAATATGTTTGTTATTATTAAAAAGCTTCAATAAGTTGATGCAAATCATGCATATGTAAACATAATAGGAAGTCTTTTTTAAATGTATTTTTTCTTTATTCTTCGTTTTTTTAGTTAATATTCTTAGACCTTGCAACACTCCTTACTATCAAATATGTTTTTAATGTTTAAAGATATATAATGTTAAAATTTGATATTCGAAAATATTGATAATTGCTCAACAGTTCTTGTGTTAGTACAAAAAACTTCGTTTAAGTAAACACAAAAAAGACATGTAACGTTTTAAAATTACACTATTAGGTAAACAGAGTATTAAAACATAGTGTTATTACAAAAATCTTTCTGGGTCTTCAGACCCAAACGAATAATGTTAGCAGAAATCCGAAGTCTATTTCAAAAGTTGCAAATAGGCCGTCTACATAACGCGCGTTAAATTTCTCGCCTTTTAGAGATTAGATAAATCCTTCTCGATTGATATACATACATATTATGCAGACAGAAAACATTTGAAACAAATCAAAATTTCCAGTCTACTGATTGAAATGAAATAAACGCATATCTATTTGCTTATATTAATTGTTTATATATGCAGAGATCAACAAACCTCGTTAATAACTGAGCAAATAAGTAGGTCACGACATATTATTGCTTGGAGCACACAGGATATTGGTACGCGATTAATTTTGAGGCATTGAGGAGAACGTGTGTGTGTATGTGGCGGGGGGGGGGGGGGTGCGTGTGTGCGTGTGCGTGTTTTTTTTCCATGTAATTTTGAAACCAGTTAAATGAATATCTTCAAATTGTACGGAACAGTCCATTGTAAAGCAATATAGGTAAATGAAATGTTGCATGACCAGATTGATTGTACGATTGAGTATAGAAGCTTTCTTGTGCCAATTTAACATGTTCTATAAAAATGATAACTCAGATGTGGGAGATGAAAAAAAAAGCCTAATTAGGAGTTTGTAACTCCTACGTAGGTTTTTATAAGAGTTCTCCTACGTAGGTGTTATAAAATCGTACTTTTTTGCATCTCTTTTCATATAAGAGAGAAGAAACCACGAGTTTTTAAACATATTTTTATGTTTCCGACAGTAAGTTATGTTAAAATTTAAAAATATTAAGAAACTTGAAAACTTAAAAAAAACTTGAATAAGTAGTATAACCGTTTCTACCAGAATTCAAACCAGCTACCTGAATTGATTTTCATATTATCTAAGATAAGCCGTCTTACTAACTGTGCTATTGAGTCATCTCATAAAATATAATGTGTACAAGTTAAATCGTAATAATTTTGTTAATCTGTTGCACTTTACCTGCGTTTACCTTAGTCTGATGTACTTTTTTAGGACTGACGAAAATTCTGTTTTTCGTGCTCGGAGTTCTTCTACATACATGAACATGTCGTACAAAGTATCGAACAAATTCAACAAATTATCTTTATTCATTTTTATATGTAACATTTTTAGGGTCTTTATTATGCTGATTTTTGGCAAAAAGAAAATTGATTATAAATAAACAGGTTTAATGGAAAAAGAAACAGTTACTGATAGATATAAGATAAGATATAAACTGTCCCTCTCCTTCCCACCCTTATCATGCTTATGTCCACTCCGGGTTTTGTTTGGTGCTTTCTGGGTGCCCTGCTTGGGTGTGTCGGGTGGCTACGTCCTGTGAACGTTGCCTTTGCCTTGTTGATCTTTATTCTTGTTTTTTTACTAGAAATGAGAAATGCAGCTCCCAAGATTTAGTTTGTACATTCTGTTATTGAAATTACACATATAATTTTCTAGATTTTAACCAATTTGTGCAGTAAAATATTTTAAAGATGAGTGTAGTTTATCGGTAAACTAACATCAATGTAAATTTATGAAGCATATGAAATTATAATTTAATGTAATAGATGGACATATTATTGTATTATGTTGTTATTTCACGTAAAAAAACGGGTGTTTTGACACGATGCACAATGTAAGTGGCGTAATTTTGGATATAGTTTTATTTCAAGCAGATAAATAAACTTAACTTTATAATAAGATGTACATATATTTATTTATAAGATACTAACATGTATTTCTAGCATTTTACTTCCAATCATGTCAAGAATATGCAACTTGAATGAATTCCGAATTGGTTAAGTTTGACATTTCCTTCCGCATGTTTTGTTCATTATTGTTAACTTTGTTCAGAAAACAACAATGTTTGAAACATACACATTTATCACAGAAACGAGTTAATATACACTTTTCAGGTATACAGGACTGCGTTCGATGTTATTCCTGTGGAATTGGATTAAGAGGCTGGTCGGACGATGATGATCCATGGATAGAACATGTTCGTTTTTCTCCAGAATGTCAGCATGTGAGACAGCAAAAACCAGTATGTACCTGACCGCCTTTAAATGTATAGCTTTTTATTGTCTTTTACAATTAACTTGTGACAGGGCTTATGTCCATAAATGAGAATTGTTACAAAGATCAGTTAAGGTAATACCTTAAAATAACTCAAGAGATTAGATGCCTAATGTAGAAACACTTTATTTTCAGTGAGAAAAACATAGTTAACAGGGGCGTGGATTTTTTTTTTATTATTTTAATTTTATATTTATTTAACTATTTATTTAGTTAGTTAGTTACTTAATATTTATTTGTTGTAGATATGCTTTTTCTTTGGTTTTGTTTCTTTTCATTTCAATACTATGTCTGATTCAAACCCTTTCTAAAGTTAGTTACAGATGAAATTAGTAAAAAGATTTCTGAAAAGGACATTTGTTGTTGCTGTTCCATAAATTTGACACAAAAGTTTAACCAACTTTAACCATATTTTGTAAAGAAAGTGTGGAAATTGTTGTCTATGAACATTAGGGAGATACATTTATTATATACTTAGAAATGAAATATTGAAAAATATTGATGAAATAAAATGCGTATTTTCATTTTCCGTAGTTTAACTGTAAAAATTTATTTTTCACTGCAGTGAAACATATTTTCAGTATTTTCACTGGTGTCTTGCCGGACTACTTTCTTTTAAATTCTGCAAGTGCAGAAAATTTAAGGGAAAGTCTTTCAAATTTTAATGTCAAAATAGAGGAAAATGTATATAATAAACAGAAAATTCAAGCTTTTTCTATAAATACATGATTTATTTTCATCTTGTGGCATGAAAATTACCATATTTCACTCGTGGCTACCGCCACTCGTGAAATATTTATTTTCATACCACTCGATGAAAATAAATCATGTATTTATAGACAAAACTTGAATATCCTCTATTTATTACATGCCTTTCGGTGGTTTATAGAAATATATCAGTGATATAAAACTGGTAATTTCACTGTTTGAAACAGTGAAATTACCACTTTGATAATTTCACTGTTTTGAATTTAAGCCCCTCACGTTGTTTCAGTGAAATACCAGCGTGCACAGTACTAGGTACCAACTTAATGACGTGACGTCGTAAATGACGTCACGTTGTATTATTATTTGGCGCGCTTTTCATTCAATATTAGGTTTAATGTCTTTTTAAAACGTTTCTTTGCATGTAATAAAAAGAAAATTTGTTTAGTTTAGTGTAAGATCGAAATATATTTCACCTTGTGAACACCAAAAGTTCATATTTCACTCGTGGCTGCGCCACTCGTGAAATAAACCTTTTGGTGCTCACTCGGTGAAATATATTCCGATCTTACACTGAACTAAACAAATATCCTCTATTTATTACATGCTTTTCGGTGGTTTATAGAAATATATCAGTGAAATAAAACTGGTAATTTCACTGTTTGAAACAGTGAAATTACCACTTTGATAATTTCACTGTTTTGAATTTAAGCCCCTTACGTTGTTTCAGTGAAATACCAGCGTGCACAGTACTGGGTACCAACTTAATGACGTGACGTCGTAAATGACGTCACGTTGTATTATTATTTGGCGCGCTTTTCATTCAGTATTAGGTTAAATATCTTTTTAAAACGTTTCTTTGCATATAATAAAAAGAAAATTTGTTTAGTTTAGTGTAAGATCGAAATATATTTCCCTTGTGAACACCAAAACTTCATATTTCACTCGTGGCTGCGCCACTCGTGAAATATACCTTTTGGTGCTCACTCGGTGAAATATATTCCAATCTTACACTGAACTAAACAAATATCCTCTATTATCTCCCTCAATGTTTTATAATGAAAAAAATCCAATTCTTCTATTTTTGACTATGATTCTCCCCCCCCCCCCGGACCCCCTTTTTTATACAAACGCTATAAAAGGTATATGATTTTTCTAGGAATTAAATACTGATCATAGACAAGAAGAAAGTTCTTCAGACCTAATTTCAAGTGATATGCGGAGCAAATCAGTTCAGATCTTAAAACATATGGGATATACTGAAGACAGAATTCGTGATGCTTTTAATGACTTAAGGAGATCAGGTAAAATAAATACATTTTCAATTTGATATATCAATTTTAGAAGAAATTTATGACTTAAGTCTGCAGCTCTGAAAATAAAAGGTATATACATTTGAAAGAATTTTTGTTGCATTTTCAGTAGCATGAATGTTTTTTGTAGTTTACTATACATGCTTATACATGTTTATGCAACATTTGAGTTTGTATGATAAATTAATGATAAAAATGGTCAGTGACACGTACTTAATAATTCTCAATGCTATTTAACATCTAAATATTATCAATCTAATCTTTTTCTTTCCAACCACTACAATTTTTATATTTAATCATCAAACTCCAAAAAACAATCCATATTAGATCTTAAATGAGAATTTACATGCATTTTGACCCAAAATACTAATTAGCTGTCTCTAATTGTCTGACATTTTGAGGTATTTGGAACTAGTGTCTACAATAACGGCTCTTGAAGCATTTTCACGTAAGATCGCCTACATGATCTTATTAAGCTAAGACTAATGGGTACCCGCGCTATATTTCCAGAATGTTCATCAAGTAATACATAGTTATCGGTAAACATTTTACTTGAATCTGGTGAAATTGTGACAACAATACCGAAAAAGTCACGTGGGCTGGCCATCTTTATTAAAGCTTTAATGACTTTGGAAAAAAACGGGTACATTTACTATAACCAAGTAGTTTAAAGCATCGATTCTGTTTGAACAGGGAGAAATGAGATCACTCTAAATGATCTCCTTGATAACATAAAAAACACAGAACCGAACATATACAACCGTGACTCTCCGAGTTACAGAATGTTGTGCACCAGAATGAACGCTGCAAACAATAGTGGGGACCAGAATGAATCACAAATTGCGTCAGGACAACAGAACGAAAGACCGACAGATACAGGTAAAAGTTAATTCATTGTCTTGTCCAAACATTCAATTTTACCAACAGCATTCTATTGAATTGATAAACGCCATGTGTCAACTGAGGAAAGCAATATTACTCTAAGAAAAAGTATTTGTTTCCAATATTCATGAACATCACTTAAGGACTTTATGTTGGATATTGATAGAAATAACAACCCCCACGGGATGAAAGCAAGCTGTGATAAATGGAAATTTTATCCTCAAACTTCGGATTTTTCATTTATCTAAAACCAACGATGATTCTTTAAAAAAAATTGAAAATTATGCCCTTTATTTCATTTAACTGCCAAAATTTTGAACGGGTGGATATTCTTACTAAAGTCTGTTTTTATACAATACATAAAACTTGCAATAGTTTCTTTCAGCTTCCCCAATCACGTTTGATGTCTTTATTCATCTTTTTGCAAATTTGTGAAAATCTTCAGAGCTTCAGTTATACTATGATCAGATACAATAGCGTAGTGTTTGCAAAAACATTCTTAGAAGTCAACAGCTGAAACTGTGTAAATTATCATTATATGCCTATTGTTTTCTCATTAAGTTCTTTTCTTTAGTTTAATTTACCTTTATAACTATCATGTCCTTTTCAGACACTTTACGACACAGATTAACATGTAAGGTTTGTTTGGACAAGGAAATATGCATTGTGTTTTTACCATGTGGACATCTTGTAGCTTGTGAGGATTGTGCTCGCAATTTGCAGACATGTGCAGTTTGCAGAGCTGATATCAGAGAAAGTGTCCGTACATACTTTTAGCATAATCTTACCAGACACTATAAGTATGTGAAAAACGCTCGCTTTGGTTTTCATAGAATGAATACTGTTTGTTAGATGCATGATCTTGGAATATAATAAAAGGAACAATTAGCATGAAACCGTTCTCTTTTTTTCAATTACCTGCAATTGGAGGCAGATAACATAATGACATATGACTAAACAAAAGTTTATTAGTTTTGAGTTAATATTCTTTTATTAATAATGGTAAGCAATTATACTGTACATTTATAGATTTCAGTAAAGCATCTGATTGTGTAAACCGAGATAATCTATTGGCAAAATTGTAAGAGGAACTAGTTTGAATATATTATTGTATATGGATGTACAAAAGAATAAGTCTTTGAATGAGTTAAGTTATAGTTTCGTATGTGTTTTATGCATTAGACATAGTGTGTCTTACAACTTTCCTATTTTTATGTTTATACATGATATGCATGTAGAATATATGCTTATTTAAAAGGGTTCAAACGGTATTGATGTTAACATGTTTGAAATGTTTTAATATTGTATGCTGATGATATTGTTATATTTGCAAATACTAGATTAGAATAACAAAATGGTTGAGATTTGTTACTAAATTACTGTAAGAATTTGATAATGATAGTTATTACTGCCAAAACCAAAGAAATGTTGTTTATCCGCAAATATCACATTTTATTATACATGTAATAGTAATATTGTTGAAATTGTTAGTCAGATGTTTCCTTATTGCTGGACAAGCACTAAAGGGTAATTTTCAAAATGGATAAATATTTGTATAAATTCCAGATATATCGGTAAGACATAAATTGAATCTTTTTAATAAAATGACATTACCTTTTTTTGATTATGGAGGATAAGTATCGGGGTTTTGATCAAATCAAGGACGTTGAACACTTACACTTGCAATAAGAAAAACACTCAAAACGACTTAATTTTTGATAATCATTTTTATTGTAACAATGAATTAAAAATATGTGTAACCTTTTAACTTTAGAAAATTTACTTTAAGTAAAAAGTCATTAACATTTTCAGCATATTTTTAGATTTTATATAATGTATAAAATAAGCTAAAAAGCAAACATGCCATTTTAATATGTTGTATTTACATGTCAATTTATCTTTGACTATATCGATTACGAAAGTTTTATTCAATGTGCCTAATATTATCTCACACCAATGAACCGAGTTTCTGTTTTCCAACTCAGATATGAATTTACAGACCGATATTTTTATTTTGTAAATAACCATTATTTTTTATCGATAAGATGCTTTGGTCTTTCTATTTTAATCGATAAGGTGCTTTGATCTTAAATTCTATTTTTATCTATAAGGTGCTTTGCTTTTTCTATTTATATCGATAAGGTGCTTTGGTTTTGATTTCACTTTTAAGTTCACATAACATAACATAATCTTTATTTCTCTCAATACATTTATGCATGCAAAAATGAGGGATTTACAGTAAATGATATAAACATAGGTGACAACCTAAACATGCTAATCAATAATTACAAATTTAGAACTAATGTACTATAAATAGCATAAGTATTTTCAGTGAATAGTTATAAGTTCTTATCTTTTGAATAATACATTTAACAAATTTACACAATTTGAGAAATTCAGATTTGTTTTTAGTACACATTTCTAGCTTAAAAATGTTTGGTCGTTGATAATATACTTTTTTCAAAAATCGTTTTCTTCCTTCGTTAAATTGACAACATTCGAGTAAATAATGAAATTTATCGCCAATTTTATTTTGACAATAAGCACAAAATCTTGGGTTAATTTGAGTTCTAGACCAATTACCTGTTTCTATTGGAAATCGATGATTTCTTGTTGGGAATTTAATTTAAAAAAGTACAGTAATGAACTATCTAAATTTGCCAAGTACGATTCAAATCCAAAAGTTCTTTTAATTACTCTATAAAACAAACTGTTACTCGAATTTAAATTTTAGAATACCACTCATTTAAAAAAAAGATCTTTTAACTTTTGTTTAACAGAAAGTTTGAGCCACTCAGAGTTTGTAAATGTGTTGTCGGACCACAGTTGTGATAGACCACATTTGATTAAAATAGTTCTGACATTAAAAAAACATTGAAATTTCTTTTTAAGCAAATTATCACTTAAACAAGCTGTTGTATGTAGTACGTTATTATAGACAAGAATTGACAATTTATTATTAGCGTTAACACCGTCGTTATTGCATAATTTTGACAGGAATAATCCTTTCTTCGATGTCAATAGCTTGAGGCATACAACAGGTTTCTCCATAAACAAAATAATTTGCTGTTGACTTCTTTCACTTAAGAATACTTTTAAAAAACCTTAGTTGTACTCGCCCAATAATGTCGAGATTACCAAATCACCATAATTTCTACACCATACAGTAAAATCGGCTTAATTGTTTTGTTAAATAATTTAATTTGAAAATCTATTGGAAGATTGAAACGATTAGATTTTTTATTTAACTATACATGGCTCTTGTAGCTTAGTTTGCGATATGGTTTTTTTTTTACATTTTAGAAAAGAGCCTGTTTTACTTAAATAAATTCCAAGATATTTGTACTCATTAACTACCTCGATAGGTTCGTTTTTGAAAGTAAAATTATATATAGATTTCCTACCTTTAGAGAAAAACTACAATCTTTGTCTCTGACGTATTTACCTTAAGTTTCCAAACATCACAGTATTGTTCATATATTTAATGCTTTTTGTAAATCATCTGCTGTTTCTGATATTATTACCGTATCGTCTGCATAGAGTAATATAAATAATTTTAAAAGACTGAAAAGCTCATTTGTATTACTTCCGTTTTCCATTGTAATTCCCTGTACGTTACTATCATTCAAAACATACGATTCTAAATCGTGAAATTAGTGAAATAGTAAATAGTGAAAATAGCAATGGCGATAAATTTTCCCCTTGGCGTACACCTATATTACAAGGAAAAATATTAGAAAAACAAGAATTTACCTTATCACATGACTTAATGTTACTGTACAAATTTTTTGATGACCTGTAAACATTTTCCATTAATATTTGAGTTTATCAGTTTTTCCCATAAACCATTTCTCCAAACTGTGTGAAATGCTTGTTTAAGATCAATAAAGGAGCAAAAAGCCTTTTCCCATTGTTATTAAGATAATAAATAATGTCTTGCAAAACAATTAGTGATCTGAGGTATAAAACCTGCCTGTACATTGTTAATTATTTCATTAGATTCAACATAATCTGTCATTCTTTTATTTAAAATACATGTAAAAACCTTACCAAAAACAACTTAACAAAGTTTGCTCAATTCATCGTCGGATACCCACGGCCGAACCATTAACATTTATCAGCCGTGGGATTTTTAGCCGATATTCAGTCGATTAGAGGTGTGTCAAAAGCAGCTATTTCATTGGCTGCCTAGCTCACGATTTCATGAGGCGATTAAAACCAATCAAAACGCTCGTTCTGTACGACGTTCGGTATTACAGACACCATAGACGACGTGAAAAGTTCAACATCGAAAATTTAAACGATTTCCAGTAAGAAATTATAGATAATTTACTTTTACAGCGTGATGTTTTCCTTTCTGATTGATATCTGCTTGCAGAAGAACTAATTTGGCGATAGTTTTTGCCATTGATTTTAGCAAGACACGTACAACAGTTTTCAACCGTGGGCGCTGCCATTTTGTTTTTTTATTGGTTTTTACCTCCGCTGTTGAAGAATATAGATTTGTTAAACGCGATGTCATTGGTAGATATTTTACGCACCTGTTGCTGTATATCGACGCAAATCGATTCATTTTACCCACGGTTGATTGCATGTTATGTAACATGTTTTATCAATCGCGGGTATCCGACGATGGCTCAATTTAAAGCTTAAGTTAAGTTCCACAGCGTACATCTTGCATTAAGGGTCAAAAGTCTAAGACATTAAGAGACACAATTTGCTTAAAACAGTTTGAGTTTCAGATAAGATAATAAACAGTAATTGTGCCTTTACACGTTGTTTTCCCCGAAATATCCATATTTGTTCTACCGTTTAAAATGTATAGACAATTTAGTTTTAAAAAATCGAGTAATTGGGATCCATAGTTGTTAGACGTTTTGTCACTATTTATACGGGTCCGTTTAAAATTAACTGCCGAGTCGAACATACTCATCTCAATATTATATTCTGAACAAAGTTCTTCTAAATTTTGACTTTCAAAACAATCTGTGACAAGAATAATATAACCATCTAAAGATTTAGTTCTGCTATTGAAATCTCCAAAAAAAGACAAAGTGTGTGATATTTACCAACAAAATTACTAAAATCGTTCTGTATCTCTAACAAGGGGCCCTCAACTGAAAATTCTGAATATTCGGGTGGTATCTAAGTAACACCACACAATAGATCATTATCTGTTTTGCATATTGATTTTGACACAGTAAACCATAACACTAATTTACAATCTGTTTCTCTGATCGTAACATATTTTGAAATATCATTTCTAACAAATAATAAAAAGCCCCCTGATTTACGACGAGTTCTGATACCATGTCTATTTTTCATAAATACATCATAACCAGGTAAATCTATAAAGTCTATGTTATCACATTTAGTTTCTTGTAAACCAATAATACAATATTGCTGTAATAACTTTGTAAATTCACCATGATGCAACTTTGCTAATACGTTTCACGCTTAGCTAAACGTGTATAGAACTGTATTTCTTTACTTTATTTGATTAATTTCTTTCTTCTTTATAATTCCTCTCCTTGTCTTACCTATATTTTACGCACTTTTCGATCATATTCATTAGCACATTCTTACGTATTTACTAATGTGTTATATTTAGTATTGTATATAAAATGTTTGTAAAATTTAATTTCTTTCAGTTTCTGATAAATCCGGTAGAGAGTGGCGATATACTTAATGCTTGTAAATACATAAATTCTAACTTGTATGATTGATATGACCTTAATAAATACCGATATACATTTTTGTAAATAAATTACGGATTATTCATGTAGTTGGTTTCTAAATAAATGTAAGTGTTCATGTTAAATATTGGTGGCCGGTGAGTTTGTTTTATTTTGATCAATTTCAAATATTTAAAAAATGCCAAATTTTGGTAACTCTATTATTAATATGTATATAGCAGATACTAAATGGAAACAAGAATGTCGAACGACACATATGTCCCCCTTTCTAGCCCTTGACTCACATAATTGGTAATTTTGTTACAGAAACTTGCCATAAATGGGTACATGGAAGTGTTCAATTATGGAAAAAGAAAAATAATGGAGACTTTGTGATAAATAGTTTTCAAGATAATGAGATATTTAAGGCCCCTGTGACCTTGAACTTTGAACTAGTGACGCAA